CCCGGTATGCCATGTTTTGCAAAAAATCCCTGTTTTATCATAATTATTTCCTCCAAAGTTTGAGGAAATCTTATATACCTGTTACCTAAATGATTTGCCATCATGTTTATTATTTCATGAAGATGCCTGCTAATAGTTGATTGAGAACAGGCAACAGATTTATCTTGAGCAACAGGCTTTTGATAACTTCCATGAGCTAAAAATGTTATTGTTGAAAAAAATCGAAGGACTGATAGAATGCTTGTATTTCTTCGACCTTGATTAAGAAATGGTAGAAGTTCATTAAATAGATCTTGAGCAGTCTGTACATCCAACCGGTATAATTTTTTAAATAATTCTTCTGGAGTTTCAAATGGATTACTTGCATCTCTCAAGTTTCTATTCAATCTCCTTAATTCTTGTCTAGAATAAATTATATACACATAAAATACACACACGTGTGAGCAATAACATACTATATATCTATATCGGAATGTAAATATATATATTATATATTCATATTTAATTTTAACACATATTTATTATATTTAATAAATACATATTGAAACGCTCACCGATTTTGTAATTCGTGTAATATTGCCTCAATTAATACTCGATTCACGTTCATCCTTTTATTATAATTGTAAAAAATAATTTTTTTTATTTGTGTATGCGTGTGTGATATGTAATTTACACATATCTGCGAGAAAAGTAACACAAGTAAAAAAAATGGTTCTTTAATTGTTGAAAAGAGAAGAAAAGTAATTGCACATTAATAATAACGTTTCTCATTAATAAAGTTATGAATTGGTTTTTTATCTCAAATTCTGTTGCAAATTGTAAATTATCTTAAACAAGTTTGATTTTACAAAAATAATTTCATATGTCTATAGTTAAACAATAATTTCAAAATTAATTACTTACAGCAGTATTAAATACAGCGGACTTACGTTATTTGAAATCAACTCCTTTTTTTTTATCGAAAACCGATGTATTATTAATTCGCATAAACAAAATTTCGACTTGTCATGCGGGTGTATCATAGTAGTGGCAGGATCTCAATATTATAGGTTAAAATGTATCTTATAACGACATCATTTCATTTAACAACACCTCTTTGGTTGTTGTTAAGTTTACGATAATTTCGTCGCCATTTTATCATTAATTAACAACAGTTATTATTTACAGAATAAGAAAAGTCATTCGTTAATGACAATCGTTACATAACAACATCGTTAAGGCTTACAGAATAGGGGTCTTAGTCGGAATCAGTACGTCATCTATGTACACTAATATTTTGTCTGCACGGATCAACGGATTTAAAATCTGTATAATGCATTTCTGAAATACGGCTGGCGCTTCTGAGTACCCGAAAGGCAAACGCGTGTATTCATATTATCCGTCTGGTGTAGCGAACGAAAAGTTACGGGTTGAATCCGCGTGTACTTTAATCTGATGAAATCCGTTTTTTAAATCTAACAACGTGAACACGGCTTTATCCGACAAATGTGATAAACAATCTTCGATACCGGAAACGGATACTTTTGTTTTTCGACTCTACTATTCAGTGGTCTTAAATCAACGCATAATCTAATTTGACCATTTTTTTTCTCACAGGTATTATCCGCGCGGAATACAGTGAGACGCTCGGACGGATAATTCCCCTTTTTAAGAGATCATCGATGATCTCTCTTATGTGAAGGCGCTCCGCATAAGCAAAGCGTCGCGGCGCAAACGCATAAATGGAAGGAGCACGTAAGTGCACTTTCACTTTGTAATCATCCTCTATCGACTCAATTGTTTTATTTTCTAAGTCTACGATTAAATCAATTAATTTTTCCTTAGATTCTATATCTAAATTATTAACGTTATCTTTAATTATTTGTTGCAGGTTATCTGCCTGATTGTCGTCTATACAGAGCGGCAATTGCTCGAACAAGCTGACTTGGCTTGTCGAGCTTATTTCCGACGCATCGCTGTATCTATAAATTAACGTAAGTTTGTTTGTATCTATAAAGTCGCGACCTAATATAAAATCGCCTGCAAACGACTCGTTCAAAATATATAAAGAAATCTCGTATATTTTGTTTCCTAGGTCTCTCAAAGTCAATTTGGTTGGGACGATCCCTACGACCTTCAACGGTTCCGCACTTAAATTTGTTAAGTCCCTATCTGACGGTAAGATTTTATGATCTTTCGGCTTTATTAATTTAACGAAAACTTCATAATTTATAAACGACATCGGGCTGCCGGTATCTATTAATGCCTCTAAATCGCAACTTTCTCCGCAGACTTTCTCTCGTGACCTTCACTATCGGCTGGGACAGCTCAAGTTTGCCTCCGGCTGGTTCCGCGACAATCGCCACGACGTCGTCGTTAGATGCTCCAAACGAAACAGCTGCCGCTGTATAGGCTGTCGCCGGACGAGTCTGTGCCGTCGGCTTCCCGTCGCCCTTGCTCTTAAGCACGGGGCAATCGAACTGACGGTGACCCTTCGCCTTGCAATAGAAGCAGGTGGTGTTACCTCTGCATTCTTTATGCGAATGGCCCTTTTTCCCGCAATTCCTACAGATATTACTGTTCGATTGTCTAGGTGCGCTTGTAGATAAGCTGGGCTTCCGCTCCACATCTACGCCACCTTCTGCGATACGGCGCATTTTCACTAAGAAATCGTCTATCGAGTCGCCTGCTAACGAGAGAGCTATGGCCCTCAACGAGCTTTGCGTTATTCCACCGATCAGCAGATGAATCGCGTCGTTAACCGGTAAGTTCAAATTGTTTATCAACGCGAGCTTAGCAATCGCATATTGGTCGAATGTCTCTTTGTGGGGGCTCCACTTTCGCGCCTCGACCTTTTGCATCGCCTTGTAAAACGGCACTTTTTTCGCAAACATTTTATTTAATTCGGCTTTCAGACCCTGCCAGGATCCAATCACTTCGCCCGTCTGGATCTCGTACCACTGGCGGGCGAATTTCGTTAATTTGCTGAACGCGGCCAGTAAAGTGATCCCGTCGGTCGCACCGTGTATAACGGCAACTTGGTCGTCTCGACCACACGGAAACGTTCTCGTCCTCACCGCCACTAAACTCCGGAATCTGGGAGGCCAGCCAGCTAACCGCGTTTCCCGTCGGTAATGAATTCCCACTTATCTGCGTATGGCCGTTTATTGCAGAATTAATATTATTATAAATATTAGTCGTCACATTACTTTCGGTCCTGGTTATAGATTCTGGGCTACCTGGGTCTGCCTCTCCCTCGACCTGGACAACCTGGACGTTTCCTGCCCTCGGCGCCAGCTGCTCGGCGCCAGTACTTGCAACATGAACTGCTGCTGTTGTTGCTGAAGCTCCTGCTGCTGCTTCATCATCGTCGTGGAGATGTCCGACATCGCCTGACGGAACATCTCCGACGTCAACGGCTCTTCTCCGACGGTTCGTCTTGAAGACGATGCTGCCGGGACGTGGACTTTGCAAACCGCCTGCTGCTCGTCCAACGTTCTCTTCGACGGCCCAATCCTCTCGAGGTGGATCAAAATTTGCTCGATAAGGAGGTCTCGGTCGTTTATCATCGGTATCTGATACCGCCGAGCCTCCCTTAGAATCGTTTCTAACGAAGCCTGCTCTAGTTCCTCACGATCAAGCATCGATCGAGTTTTTGGCATGATGCTTGCCCGACACGACACGACAACGTCTTTTTAATACTTTTTTCTAATTTCTCAGACTCAAAGAGCCCGTTTTCTACTCCGACACGACACGGCAACGATTTCAGTCTTTCCGACACGATGCGGACTTGAAAAGCCCTTTATCTGTTCCGACACGACACGGCAACGATTTTTTAAGTCTTTCCGGCACAATGCGGACTTAAGGATAATAATCCCACTTCTGAGCTGTAAGATTTTTTCAAGAGTCTAATATTTTAAATAAATTGAATAAAACTGAATGTTCGGCAACCGTTTAATTTTTGAACGATAAGACGGTTACGTCCTATCTCTGACCTTATTTATTATACATGGAATTATTCCGGCAAAAGTTATTGGGTTGTCAGGAACGACAGTCTTTGAACAAAAATGAATCGACACAGCTTCTAGATTGAACACTTTAACATTTAATTTAAAGATATTATACGTAATATTACAAAGTACGACTTCACCCGAAATTCTAAGTCCTTATTCTCGACAAAATTCACGACTGTCTCTCTAATAAATTTTTCCTTGCGACCTACGCTTTCGACTCGACGTTAGAGAGTGATTTTCAATTTACATTTCTTTATCAAGTCACCTCTTTAGAACATTCTCGAAAAAAATGAACAAATACAGTGTTTTCCTTAAAATATAGGGCGGGAGCGCGCCCGCGCAGAATCGATATATGCGAGGCGCTGATCGAGTCTTTGGCTGCCGTCAGCTGGCGCCGTCTATCGATTAATTTCATTGCCATCTTTCAAGATCTTGTAGTCACTACTAGCTGTAAAAGGTTATGTATTGTGCGAAATAAAACGAACTATCGATAGAGTATCGATAGTTATCGATCTTTAAATACAGCGTGTAGCTGAGTTGTTATTTCAAGTCTATCTTACAGATAGTTTTGTAAAGCAGATGATCTAGCACAATCGATCTACTTAGGGAAATTTTGTCAGGAATCCTTGAGAGGGCAAAAGACTAAAGTGCACGTTTTCTCACTATAAAGCTTTATTTAGCAACTCACAACTTAGGTATTTTGTACTGAACGCAAAAGACTCAAGGTCTCCACGCCTGTTTTCTCGGCGAGAGCCTCTTCGCGACTCTTTTTTTACTTCACTCGACGACCGCGCTTAGACCGATCTCGCAACGAACTACCAATCTTAGGCCCGTATTCATAGTCCAAACTTATTTTTAAGATCGCCTTAAGTTCGGTCTTAAGACGCCCTCTAGATTCATAGTTGTGACTTAAGGTAATCTTAAGATCACGCCTTAAGTATTACCTTTGTGAAGACTGTCTTCAAATAAGACAATCTTAAATGACGTAAAAAAGTGAAAATAAGACCGTCTGTGTGAAGTCCAGTCAAATGAGCTCTTAAGGTGATCTTATTTGAAATCGCTAGTGAAAAAAGTGTGGTTACAACGTGGTATTGTGTCCTAAAAGCTAAAGCTAAGCAAGAAAAATGGATATTCAAGCAATAAATATTGAAGAAATTGAAGACATCGAAGATGTTAGAGTGATACGAATTCCGAAACGATATATCCGTGATGCAAATAACCCATTCGAATTTTACGAAGAATCAGAATTTAAAAGACGCTTTAGATTCTCTAAAGAATCGATTTTATATGGAATATTACCTAAAATAGAACAGTATTTGACGAAGATCAATAATCGTGGTTTACCTGTTTCTCCTGCTATACAATTGTTAGTTTGTCTACGGTTTTACGCAAGTTCAAGTTTTCAGGTTAGACGCATGATAATATATATTTTATGGATTATTTTATTTTATATATACATGTATTAGATAATTAAAATAAATGCGTTTTAACGTTACAGATGGTTATTGGAGATACAGTAGCATTATCACAACCAACAATATCTAGAATTGTATTTCGTGTATCTGCTCTACTTGCTAGTTTGATAAAAGAAAGTATAAAAATGCCTACTAGTCAAGAAAGAAAAAATGAAAATTATCAACTATTTCGAATTCTTGGATATGGTAACGGAGCAATTGGTTTACCTGGGATTGATGGTGCAATTGACTGCACACATATACGCTTAACACATACACGATTTCATCGTATTGATGAAGTATATCGAAATAGAAAAGGGTACTTTTCATTAAATGTACAGGTATGTTACTATAATTCATCCCAGCAAATTAAAGTAACATTGGGTGCTTTTTATTTAGCGATCATAAATATAATTCTATCTTTGTTGTTCGCTGTTGTTGAAAAAAAAATTAGAATGATGCTTTTGTCGACTTGTGTCGCTAAATGGAAAGCACCCAGTAATATAACATTTAATGTTTCAATATCCTATTCAAAAATACTAACTGTTATGTAACACACACACACACACACGCGCGTGCGCGCGCGGCATGTTATATTACAGTTATATTGTTGAGTAGGACATTGAAACACTTATATTATCGTTACTTTGTGTTTGCTGGAATAATTGATAATTATACTAATAATTATTTATATAATGCTAACATATATATATATATATATATACAATACACATTTAATTCTTTATTTGCTTCAATATAACAGACCGTAGTTGGACCACGAATGGAATTTTTGGATGTTGTACCAGAATATCCTGGCAGTCAGCATGATAGCAGGATTTTCCAAAATTCAAGAATATATATGCAGTATATGCAGGGAAGATTAAATGGAAAACTAGTTGGTGATTCTGGTTATCCGACTTTACCATTTCTTTTAACACCAATAGGAAATCCTCAGACAGACGAAGAAATAATGTAAGAAATCTTTCTCGTTTAATATCAAATACTCTCAATCGTATATTACTTTATTAGAAATTATTTATTGAATAGACGAGTGTAAATTTTTTTTTTGCATTCATACTGAATAATTTTATATAATTCTGCAAGAGAGATATATGTATTTAATCAGATTGGAAATTTATTCAATTCATGTGTCGCATAATTCAAATATTCAAATATCTATTTTGAAATTTTATATGTATTATTTTTGCACACAGGTACAATACTATTCACGGAAGAACGAGACAAATTGTAGAAAGAACATATGGCATATGGAAACGACGATTTCCTTGTCTATCAAGAGGACTTGGCACAAAATTGTTATGCTCTACAACTATCGTAATAGCATGTTCAGTGCTACACAATCTTGCTCTTATATTCCGTGATGAGCTTCCTGAGGATGAAGAAAATGACCCACATGATGAATATGAAGAAGTTCCGGTAGATCCACCACATTGGCAGCCAGGAGAAGGGTTTGCAGCAAGACAAGCTCTCATTGAACGTTTATTTCGATAAATTTAAAAAAACATTAATTATGCTGTATACATTATTAATTTTGATACATATTTATAAATATATTTATATAACCGTATATATCATTATCAATCATGTACAAAAAATAAACCAATTTTTTAAAATTATGATTGTGAAGTATATATTATATAAAATATCAAATAAAATTATAAAACATTTATAACACCTATAATCTATTGTTGAATTTAAATTATGTATAATTTAATATTAATTCTACATAATCTATATAATCTAATTCTAAAAAAATAAAAAGGTTAATAAAAATTTTGTATATATTTATATATATATTTATTTTAACATATATAATAACATATATAGATACACAAATAATTATTTAAACAAAGTAACTTTTTTATAAGTATAGTTTTATAAGTTAAGTTTTAATATATGAGTTTTTTATTTTGAGTCAAGTGGATTATAAATACGATCTTTTTCTTTTTTTAGTTGAAGTTCTGCTAATTCAGCTTTTGCTGAATTAGCTCTTATTTCTAATGTATTGTTTTCTTTTAAATGAGTTTCTCTTATAGCAGCCATCCTTTCTTCATGCCTTAATTTGACCTCTGCTAACTGTTGTTCCTGCTCTATTATAAATTTTATTCTTTGAATTTTAACTTCTTCTTCCGTTTCTCTTTCTGTGAATTTGCGTTTTTTCGCAGCTTTGCTAGTGTCGGTAGGCTTGTTAGTGTTGGTTATAAAGTTGGTTATAAAATTTTCTGTAAAAAAAATATAATATATTTAAAGGTGTTAAAAAAATCATTTTATATATACGTACATTTTATATACCCATTACACATGCACATGAACGTACGCATAAACACACACACACACACACACACACACACACACACACACACACACACACACACACACAATGCGTTATTCATTAAAGATAAGTAAAATACAAAAATACTACAATATGAAAAAAAAAATAAATACAAAAACAATACAATATGTTATTCATTAAAGATAAATGTAAAAATATACATTTGAATAGTACATACCTTTGGCAACTGATGTTATAGTTTCACATAATATTGTTTCATTTTCTTTATTATTTTCTGCAAACGTTTCTACAAATTCAATGTCTACATCCTCGCTGCTATTTTGCACCATTTGTCTTTGATCTAGAATTCAAGAACAAATAAAACAAAGCTATAAGTGAAACAATAGCTGTTTTAAGAACTTAATAAAACTTCATATTTTAATGAAAACAAAAACATAGTCAATTGTTAAACATTTTTCAGTTAAAACACAATGCCCATATTTTTTAAATATATCTCAGTAAACATGAACTGACAATAACATAACATTATTAATATTATAATTTTTTACTCAACAATGTAACAATTGCAATGTAACATGCAATTGCATTGTATGCAACAGTTATATTGTGGGAAATTATAATATTGACTATTACGTTACTGTTAATTTGATGCTTACTTGATTTACTTCTTTGCGCACATGCTTTTTAACTATTATTATCCTTCGCATTCCAATTTGATAATTACTATTGATAAATGAATACTTACCTTCTATTTCATTGTCATTCATATTTGATGAAAATAATACAGGGGCTGTAGCCATTAAAGTAGGTGCTATTAGAGCAACATCTGGATCTATTTCCGTAGAAGGTTTTTCCGGTCCTCCACCTGTAGCAAATCTAGCTTGCCTTTCTTTCGTTATTATATCTCTTTGGTTTTGTTTAAGATTAGTCCACAACTTCTTTAATTGCTGTATGCTTCTCTATAATGTTAAAAGAATATTAGTACAAAATGATATGTATGCTGATATGCAAACACATAACCTAACATAACTTATATTCCATAATAAATAAAAATTCTCTCTTACTTCTTGGATAATTAATGAGGAATTATTAAATTCTTGGCAGATACAATCCCACGCAGCTTCTTTTTCGCGTAGTGTATTAATATTACTTTTTTTACATTCGATAACTTGTTTATATTTGTTTAAAATTTGTAAGAAAAGACTTTTTTCCGCTGGCGTATAATGCTTACTTTTGCTTTTATTTTCCTTTTCTATTTTTTCCATTTTTTATCTTTTTTATAAGATTCTTTTTGCACTTATAAGATAAAAAAAGTAAAAATGTTTATGCACATACTACGAAATCAGACTAACCTGTAATTTCAAAGCAACGAGCAGAATAGCCTTCTGTCATTGGTTGTTTCAACGGAATTATTCCGAAAATTTCCGAACGCAAACGAGCATTGTCTTAAGCACGGTCTTTATAAAGATAGTCTTATACGACACAAGACGATCCTAAGGATTAGCTTCTTCTTAAGAATTATCTTATACATAGATTATGAATTTATAATGTCTTAAGACGATCTTAATTGAATAAGATGATCTTCATGAAGATGATCTTAAGCAT